TATGATGCTGTGACCATCGCTGACGGCGAAGTTGAGGAGGCTCCGGGTGTCGACGTTCTCAGCCTGAATGACACTGTCCGGGATCTGGTCGATCAGCTCGTTGATCAGCGCAATCGTCTTCAACATGGCTTTTCTCAAGACGGTCGGCCCAAAACCGCCATGCGGTTGCGAGCTCGGGTCGTGACCCATCCTCTGGAGTGTGTCGAGGAACAGTGCAAATGCCCACTCGCTGTCGGTTCCTCCGCAAACACCCAAGTACCATTTGTCTGCTAGTCTTTCTGCGAGCCTTCTCTTGATATGCTTCCAGCCGCCGAGGCCACCGTTGTGCATCCACATCAGGCTGCCATGGCAGAACGGGTGGCAGTTGTCCTCGCTGAGCGAACCCTCGGTGGTAGCGCGTACATGGGCAAAGACAAGGCGCGAAGCTGTCTTCGAGGCGATCCGTTGGAGGTTGGTGCAGTTCCAGGCAGGTATCGTCGAAGTGAAGAGGCACGGGGCCTGGCCGAGCTTGGGATCGGTGTACCAGCCAATGCCAAAGCCATCGGCATTGTTCTGTCCGCGTCGGGTATCCTGTTGCGATAGCGCGGTCAGAAACTGTGAGCAAATTCAGGGAGGTGATAGTCAGTCCTACCAGTCGTAGACGGGAGTCGAATGACTGTTTCAGGATCGAGTGGGTTGGATCGAGGATCAACTTTGAGAGGAGGATCTCGTCGCTGCCGCGATACATCTGAGTGGGCCCTGTCAGCCAGAGTCTCTCATTGAGCGGTCGCCGGACAGAACTCTGCGTCTTACCAAGAACCGGCACATCGCGGGAAAGGGAAGGGGGTGGTGCTCTGCTGATCCGATCCGAGGCACCGTCGAGTTGGGATGACAGTCTGAGCACACTACTGCGCAAGTCGTAGGTTTGGGTTTAGCAACGTGCAAAATGGGAAATAGCTTCAGAATACGTGTTGTGTTGTGAAGGGAGTTCGTCGCGTGTCATATGACAACACTCGTCGTCAATCCTGTGCGAATGGCGCAATCAAGTAGCATAGGAACGGAGCGTGGCACAGTGGCAACAATATTAACGAGCTGGGTCCTCTGTGGTCGGCGGTCTAGAGTGCTCCCGATCCTGGTGGGAAAAGAATCGAGACAAGACACATACAGGACCATGTGCAAGGCGCCTTAGGGAACTGGGTCTGATGCTTGGAGAGGTTGAACAGGATGAGTCAATGCGTGCTACGCTTTCAACGACTATGCCTATCACCACGTTGAAGGGCGGCGGCGATATGGAGTAGTTGGTGCAACCAGCGGGCCGTCTTGCATGCCTGCAAGACGGCCTGGCCTCTTACTGCGTCAGAAGATGCCCAAGCTGTGAAGCTGCCCTGTCCAATAATCCGAGGTCGAGCGGAGTGCGCCACGCCAGTGACAAGGCAGCCAACCCCACTATTATGGTGGGTTAAGTGCATTCGGTACCTTATGGCAAGTGGGAACGTGCCTGATGCCAGGTCCACCGCCACGATCCTGGAGTACCATGTACAGCAATGACGAGCCTCGTACGTGCAGGGCCTGTCTTATTTGCATGATCCGACCACCGACGACATTTTCCCCTCTGCCGACACCAGCAACGACGCCACAGACAACATTGTTAACAGTCACCACTTTGGCCGCTTTTTCCACCCTCCTGGATCCTCAGCCTCCTGCATGCCACAAACACACACGACGTGCAACGCTCTACCGGCAGCATGAGCGGACGGCTCCTTGCCACGGGGCTGTCGCCTTTGACGCGACGCGCCGCCATACAGACGGTTCGACAATACCATCGCCTCCCAGCGGGTGGGTTGCTTCGCGCCGATGCCGCCGTCCGAGCGACACGCCGGCGCATGTGGTTCTCAGGCAACGCTTTTCACAACGCCGTAATTGTTCGCAATGCCTCCTTCGCCCGCTTCCTCCCCAAGCTCGTCGTCAAGTTTGCCCGCATCCCTGCCATGTTTGGTGGCCTCGCCATCGGTACATTCGCATGGGTCCAATATCAGGCTACGCGTACGTATACCCTGCATACGCTCGTCGTCGCAGCTGTCACTTGAATTGTTTCTTTCGCTAATGCTTGCTACCTGGCAGAACTAAGCAACAATGCGTGGGACTTGGCTACCAGGACAGCCGACGGTGTATCTGAAACAGCAACCAGCTTATTTGGAAGCGCAAAAGATATCGTCGACCAAACCAAGCGCGGTTGGGAGAACACGAAGGATCAATTTGAGACTCCGCAGTGGCTACAAAAAGTCCTCCGAATCCACGAAGATATAGGCACGGGACAAGACGGCGGCAATTCTGGTGGACCAGGAGGAGAACCGCCACACAAGAGCAAAGCCGGAGCTGCCGTTGCCGTCGGAGCCTCCGCAGCTGCTTATGGCTACGACAAGAACGATGAAGAAGACCCGCGAGACCCTGGCGAGGCCGCCAAGGATGACCAGATGATGCTCCTGACGAAGAAGATGATTGAAATCCGGAACATGCTACAAAAGGTCGGGCAGTCGAGCACACTGACCCTGCCCTCCATTGTCGTCATCGGATCACAGTCCTCTGGCAAGAGTTCAGTCCTCGAAGCTCTCGTTGGACACGAATTCCTACCAAAAGGCTCTAATATGGTCACTCGGAGGCCAATAGAACTCACCCTTGTCAACACTCCGGATTCTGCTGCCGAGTATGGCGAATTTCCCGACCTTGGTCTTCGACGCATCACGGACTTTTCGTCCATTCAAAGGACATTGACAGAGCTCAATCTAGCTGTCCCCGACTCGCAATGCGTCTCCGACGATCCCATCCATCTCACGGTCTACTCCCCCCATGTGCCAGATCTCTCCTTGATAGACTTGCCCGGCTACATTCAGGTGGTTGGCCATGATCAGCCTTTGGAGCTGAAGCAGAGGATATCAGAATTATGCGACAAGTACATTCAAGCCCCGAATGTCATCCTCGCCATTTCTGCTGCTGATGTCGATCTGGCCAACTCCACCGCGCTTCGCGCCAGTCGCCGGGTAGACCCAAGGGGTGAGCGCACCATTGGTGTCATTACCAAGATGGATCTCGTCGAAGCCTCCCGCGGCGCCGCGATACTGACGGACAAGCAATACCCCCTTCGCCTGGGATATGTCGGCGTCGTATCGAAAGCTCCCCAGGCCACCGGCCTGTTTCGTGCGGGCCCAAGTAACCTCCAATCAGCTATCTCCAAAAACGAGAATGCTTTCTTCTCTTCTCATCCTCTAGAATTTGGGGAAGACGGCGGTCTGAGCGTGGGTACTGTGACATTGAGGAAGAAACTCATGACTGTTCTGGAGCAAACCATGTCTGCCAGCCTGCAAACCACCAGCGATGCCATCCGGCAGGAGCTGGAAGAAGCCACGTATGAATTTAAGGTCCAGTACAACGACAGGCCTCTGTCGGCCGAATCATACTTGGCAGAGAGCCTCGACGCTTTCAAGCATTCCTTCAAGCAGTTCTCGGAAAGTTTCGGCAGAACACAAATGCACGAAGTCCTCAAACGCGAATTGGACCAAAAGGTTCTTGACCTGCTGGCTGCTCGCTACTGGAATAAGCCTATTTCGGATCTGTCTCCCGCACGTCTTGAGCCGGACAATCTAGCCGACCTTCCCAAGGCAGATGCCAACTCTCTATACTGGCGCCGTCAACTTGATGCATCCACCTCTGCGCTCACCAAGCTGGGTGTTGGCCGTCTAGGCACGACGGTTGTGGCGTCATCTCTTCAATCCCAGATAGATCGCCTCATTGGCAAGTCGTCCTTTGCCAGCCACCCATTTGCGCGACAAGCCATCTCCGAGGCCGCATCGACCATTCTGAATGAGCGCTTCTACAGCACGAGTGACCAGGTGGAGAACAGCATCAAACCCTTCAAGTTCGACATCGATATTGAGGAGCGAGAATGGAGCAAAGGGAGAGAGCATGCAAGCGTCGTCCTGAAGACTGAACTGCAGGATTGCGAAACAGCCCTCAAGGGGATTGAGAACACTGTGGGCGGTAGGAGGAAACTCAAAGAGGTCATGACTTTCGTGGACAAGGCGCGGAAAGGAGACATTGTCGTGGAAGGAGATGGGCGTAGCGGTGCAGGAGGCTTCAGTGCAGCTCTGCTCGCTAAAGGTACGTCTGACTTGCTCCTATCGGCACATAACGTATGATGGCTGACGAAAATCCAACAGGGCGGGAGGCTGCCTTCTTGCGGGATCGCGCAGACATCATCAAGATGCGTCTTATGGCAGTCAAGTCGAAACAGTGCGCCGACTTGAAAAACAAGTACTACTGCCCTGAGGTATTCCTTGATGCTGTAGCGACAAAGCTTGCGTCGACGGCGGTCCTCTTCCTCAACGTCGAGCTTCTGTCCGAGTTTTACTACAACTTCCCTCGAGAGCTAGATCTCCGACTCGGAAGACACCTGAGTGACGAGCAAATCGAGCAATTCGCCCGTGAAGATCCCAAGATCAAGCATCACCTGGAAGTGATTCAGCGCAAGGAATTGCTCGAGCTCGTCCTCGATAAGATGGAGAGTTTGAGACAGATGGAAGGCCGTGAGCGAGAGAGGAAGCTGGGAGGGAAAAAGGAGGAGAAGGAGAAGGAAAGGGGCCGATGGGGTCTGTTCTGAGAAGATCACGTCATGCCGTTACGAATGCGGCAGCACATACGCTACAGGCGTTTAAAGGTGTTCATGGAGTCTTTGGACGTCGTGGTGGTGAGTGGTGATTGAAAGTCCGTCACCCCCCTGACCCAACACAGCGCGGATTTGTTTCCTACAAAGGGAGGACAAGATTGGTCGGTTTTCTGTGTAGCCTTGGCAGGTTTTCCTGCGATTTCGCGAAGGATCAATGTTTACTAAGGTATATGGATACCCTGCTCGATTCTTATTTATTCTTGTCATTACACTGAGCGTACGAAGCCGTCCAACTCGATGCGTGAGAACGTGTGTGTAACGCCAGGCGCCATATTTTTCCGCGACCCAACACCTCCAAGTTTTAATTCGGGTCAATGCTGGTCTGGATGGTTACCTCCCATCGCAAACTAGAGCCCCGCCCATAGCCCTCACCGAGGCGGTTCTGGATGAGCGACGAAATTCGACTTCGCAGCTTACTGATGGTTCCTTCATCGCATCCCCTCGGGACGGAAATCTTCAGATTGGCCATGCACAGTCCGTAGTGTACTTGCCAAAATTGTGCCTCGTCGACTCGTGTGATGTTCGGCTCCGCCTCAATCTCCTTCATGACGGAAGAAACCCCATCCGTGCTCTTGGTGCCGCGGTAGGCCATGAGCAGCATGGAGGCTTGAGCTGTGCCAAGCTGAGCACCGAAGACGAACATGGCACATGCGATGGCAGCGCACAGCGTCCGATCCCAGAAGATGGGATCTCCTGGTAGCAGCGGCAAGAGGAGTACCAAGGTCGAAAAGAAGATGGTCAAGACGTGGAAGACGTTGCTAAAATGGTGGGAGATCACAGACAGCCATGAGGCGCGCATGATCCTGGCGATTCGTGCGTGGTTTTTGACCCAATAAGTCGAGACCAGCGTGCTGATGACTGCTGCACCAGCAACCCACTCAACCTCGCCCGTAGGGACGTAGTCGTGGCTGTGGTCGTGATGCGGTTCATGGCCGCCTTTGCTCTCGAGCCAGTGCTTCAGTCCATGGGACACCAGGTCGAAACCTCCAAAGAGAAGGAAAATGGACATGGCGAAGCCAGCGATAACCTCGGCGCGCTCGAGGCCAAAGGGATGACGAATGCTGCTGCGGCGCCAGACCTCAAAGTTGCCCAATACATCGACGGCAACGCAGATGAGGGCACTGCCAGCATCGAAGAAGACAAGATGGGAGAGCGCCATGATGCCCAGCGAACCTTTGGACTGGAAGAAGAGGAAGGAGGCCACGGCATGATGACAGAGTGACCAGTATAGACTATGCCATTGTTCGGTTGTCATGCGCTCGCGAGCGTCTTTCAGTGTCGGTATCGGGAGCGAAGCGGGCAGAACGGGAGGCGGCCGTTGCGGTGGCTCCTTGAAGATCTGATGCTGGGTCGAGATGGAGCTATGTTTGTAGCGATGCCCACGACGCTGTCCGATGTTCTGATTGCTGTCGTCAGCATCGTGTCACTGGTCAAGATACGCGTCGCGTGTTGCTCACCGACTTGACAGGCGACGTCGAAATAGTTTGTGTCTGGAAATTGAACGGGCTGGCAGTGGTCGGTGGCCTGTCGTCGACAGATTGGTCTAGGTCGGCCATGGTTGGAGGAGGAGGGGGGTGGAATGCGAAGTGAAGGATGCGATACAGAGCAGATGGTAGAAAAGCCGCCCCGGGTCTTCTATTGACCACGCGGTAGCATAGGCTTGCCAGTCAGGGGGCGCCGGTGTCGTAGCCCAAGCATGCGCTCGAATTGAGGCCACAGCTGCGCATGAGACTTGTTTTTGTTACGTGGTTGGAGAGATGCAAGAGGCCTTGTCAACGACTATCTGGCTGTTCTGACGACGCGCCCATGTTCCATGCTAAGATCCAAACAGGCAAGTGTGGCTGTCAACTTACACAGGGGTCGTTGACTTTGGTTCCATCCTTATGACTGCATTGGGCAATTTCGAAATCGATAGCAAAGCACGTTGTCGTTCTCAGGGGTGTTTGCCTTGCCTTGCGTGAATTCAAAACACGCTGCTTGACAATCGAAAATAGATGGCCTAGAGGTTTGCTCTCTCACTGCTCGCTCCTATTCATGAGCTTGACTCTAGCTACACTGGATAGGTACCTTGCCTGTTTTCGTTCGGCAGCTTAGTCAGCGACATCAAGATAACCGCGTCGCCTTCGGCCGATTTGCGTCTCGAAAGTGCCAGATTCACGTCAATACTACTTGTTCACTCGATTCCGACCCACTGATAGACGACAACCCAATCTGTTTTCTTCAACATCAGGAGGCCTCACAACGCGCCAACCCTTCCAGTTTGGTTCACATATATGGAACATCCCATCGATGGCGAAGAGTTTGGGCCAGGCTCGGCAAAGGGGGCTGAGAACCACCCAACGTCCGCTCATCGCAAGGATCCAGGACATTCACTCGTTGCCAGCTCCCACCGACGTTCCGGCTCTGGAGCTAGTCTTTTCTCCAAGTTATCGTTTATGAAACCAACAGCGTCGGATGCCAGGACGAGGCATGAAGGAGACGGCGAAGGGGTTACCTCAGACTCCTCCTCACCTCGCGCCATGGGCACTATCGTGCAGCAGCAAAAATCACGTCGCCGAACTGGCTCCCTTAGAAAGGTTGCTTTGCTCGGCAGAGGGGCACAACGAGAGCGCCGAGACGCGAAGCAACTCACGATCGATATTGGTCATGCTACCAGTCGCAGGCCGGAGGCGGCAAGTCCAGCGGCCGATTTGACGTCTGAGCATTCTGCTCTAGGACTCAGGGTAACAGACGCCACCATGCTACCATACAGCTTGGGTGAAGTCACCACGAACAAGACAAGCGAGTCTCATGTCCCAAAGCCATCACTGAGATCCCCTCAAGCTCCCGAAGTCGAGCTGAACGTTGCCAGCCCTACTCGCTCCACCAACTCGACGACAGATGAGGATGATCTCCCGCACATGTCGAACTGCAGCCTTGCAACGTCGCGACCTGAGTCAGACCCCTCACTTTCATCTGGTTCAGACTCGTACTTTGGAAGTCGAGCGGGTGAGCAACCTCTCCGGAGAAGGTCTCCTCTGGCGTACAGCGGCATGGCGAGTACGCCCGTACCAGCCGCCGACTCGGACTGGGACTACTCCGATACGGAGTGGTGGGGCTGGGTCGTGCTGGCCGTGACGTGGGTTGTTTTCGTGGTAGGTATGGGATCGTGCCTGGGCGTCTGGAGCTGGGCATGGGATGTGGGCACAACACCTTACGCGCCTCCCGAGCTGGAAGATGATCCTACGTTACCCATCGTGGGGTACTACCCAGCACTCATCATATTGACATGTATAATGGCATGGGTTTGGGTGGTTGTGGCTTGGGTGGGCATGAAATATTTCCGACATGCAAAGATAAGTGGCGATTGAGCATGAATCCAACCAAGGAGATGGAAGGGGCGGCAGGATGCAGAACTCGGCGGATACTGAAAACCTACCGTGGATATCTAAACAAACATTGTGCACAACGCAACACTTGGAACGAGGCCAGAGCGAGCGCACAGCATGGCAGTTGGTTCCAGAGGGCGGGATCTTTACTTGGCCTGACGCCGCCCCTGACGATGTGGCTGGACCTCGTAAGCGCTGTGAGGGTTCGGAGCGGCAAATCGGCGGCGCGAGTACCAATCGGCAACGAAGCCGCTGGATGAACGTGGATGAAAATGTACTTGGACGGCAGAAACAGCGGCAGCGGCAATGACAACAAACAATAGTCACAGTCGATAGGTGATGGACGCGTCTGCATTGTGTCGGGGGGCTCAAGTCTATCGGCCTGTGAAATTCGGTGACCCTGTTGGCCAAGACACAGCACTTGCCGAACACATCTGAGGAATGAAAGCCGCGACTATGCGTAGAGGTAGAGTTCTGCGTTCGAATGACAGAATTAGCATTGCAAATAGACAGCGTAATGATAGTAGTAGGAACCCGGAAGGTGCCCCATATGATACTTGACAAAGTTCATCATAGGTAGCTCACTCACCCTGATGGTCGATCAACCCAGATCATTGGATCAAGCCGCCGATGGCGACAAGGACAAGGCAGCCGAAGACGTGACAGCAGTACAAGCATCCATTCCCCTTATTAGCAGCGCAGCGGCCTTGGCATGCTTGGGTGCTTGTGCCCCTCTAAATTGCTTACTACGTCTCCCACCATACCACTACTACCAGCGGCCCGGCCGACAAGTGCCTCAAGGGGCAGCCAAGGTACAAGTACCTCCATCCCGATCGAAAGGTGCGGGCTTGGCCGCGCTTGCCATTCGAAATTTCAGTGATGCACTACCTCTGCCCCACAGTTGATGCACTGTATTTATAATGCACCAGCGCTGTGCTCAGTGGCATCCACAGGCGGCACGCCCACAGTCTCCAGACGTTGGCCACTGGCCTTCTGAAAGTACCGGCCCCCCCACCCACTCAGCTGACGCCAGGGCCTGGTCACCGAGTTCCTTCCAGTGATGGTGAATGGAAGCAGCCTGTGCCCAGCCCAGCCGTTCAACATTCGCCTCCCAGGTCCCGCTTATTGGCTCCTCCCTGACTTGTCCTGACCTGGGTGGCCCAGCCCGGACCCCAACTCCCATTACCCATCCCTCACTGTTCACCCTCGTGTCTGGTCGTGTGTGTATGGTGCATGCAGAAAGACGGACGAGAACATCTCCCCAAGCCCAACCTCCCACTCGCACCTCCCCTCTCACCACCCGCCGCCCCATCGACTCATCCTCATCGGCTGTCACGCATCGTCTTCTCCCTTCTCTTCGACCTTTGCCCCCCTATCATTCTGACGATTGCGGCTTATTGTGTCTCGCTTTCAGCCTTTGTCTCCCATGCCCGATTCCCCATGCTCGACTGAAGCCGCTTCCGCTTCCGTTGTCGATACATCGTCTCGGCCTTCATCCACATCCATCGTCCGAGTCTGAGGCATTTGGACCGGATCTGCATCGACATCCTACTACCTCTTTTTCTGCTGCTGCTGCTGCTGCTGCTGCACCTCCCTCCTCGTCACCTCCCCGGTCGCCTCGCCCCATACTCCCGACCGTCTGAAACGCCGCTTCTTTGCAACTCGGCTTTGTCAATCTCGACCTCTCATCGGGTCGTCCACCCCCTGGTTCCAGCCTTGCTTCCTCCGCTAGGCCCTCAAACTCGCCCCATCAGGCCTGGCGGGACAGATACACTCGACAACCCACTACTTCCATCCACGCCATCGTCGTCTTTGTGACGAGCGGCCATTTCTCCCTTTGCGACCGTCGCATCCCCTATACCGACCTCCGCCTAGCGCCCTGGCACGACTTTTGCCTGCCCTGAATCGCCCTACACATAATATTTCCGCACTTCGTGCGACATTAAGGACTTGAGCCTACTCAACACATCAGACTTCACTTGCCCACCATGAGGGAAGTAAACTTTAGCATTCCCAACGTCAACAAGGCGTCGGTCGGTATCACCACCGCCCTGTACGACCGGAGGGCCCTCGACTGTACCTCGACGCTTCCCTTGATCAACTCCTTGAACCATTTGGCCTATCTGACCACGTCATCTGCACGCATTCGCGACATCCTCACCGTCGATGGCGGCATCGAACGCTTGGTTTGCATTTTGAAGCGCGGCCGTAGCAAGGACATGATGGATATGTGGAAGTGGAACCTGGCCTTCCAGTGCGTGGTCAACATTGGCGTCAGAGGTACAGAAAATGTGCGCACACGCGTCGTGGAAGCAGACATGGTTCCTGTCATTGCCACTATCCTTGACAACTACATCAAGGTCATTGAGAAATGCCGCGAAAAGGCAGAAGAAGCCAAAGACAAAGAAAAGGAGCACCACAGACACAGGAGTCATGAGCATCGCAGCGTCACCAAGGCGTCCTCCTTCACCAATCGATCCAGCCGGGTTGAGGCTGATCAACGGAGTTCGCGCCGACAAGCGCCGCCCCCTTCGATCGACGTGTCCGCCACATATGCAGGCCCTTCATCTGCTGCCACAAACCAAAACGACGTGACGCCCACGGGAAATGCTCCGCAGTTTGCCGTCCCAACGGCAAATGAAAGGCACGCTTTCCAGGGCTCCCACCGTCATCATCATCATCACAACCATCACCACCATCATCACCACCACCATCACTACAGGCCGACAGAGTCCCGTAGTGGCGTGGCTAGCACATCTCGCCAAGTCATCCAACCTCTTGCAACAGCTATACCACCGCCGCCACCCGTCGATGTCGGCGATGCTTTTGTACGCCCGGTTCGCGATGTCGACCGCCTGGCATCAATGGCTCCCTTCGGACCGCTTGGCCTCACGTCACAGCCGACATCTCCTACGACGCCTCTGCCACCACCGCAATCTCGATCTCCATCGGTCCGGCCCCACTCGATCCTGGGCCCTAACAGCCGTGCGAGGCGTCGACCCTCGATTAGACATCAGAATTCAACTGCTGACTCTGACGATCTCGTCGGAGACGATGCGCAGTCAGACGAGTCCCCAGCCGATACAGAGATGTCCGGAACCGGAGAAATTCCGCCTGCTGTCAACATCCAGGACATGACAATGGAAGAGGGTGAAAATATTTTGGCAGGCTCTGCTGCCATTGAACTGACGCCTCCGACTGTGTCCGAGACCCAGGAGACTGGTGCTTTTAACATTTCACACCGTGGCCCAGTCGACGGCAGCATTGCCAACAACGCCGCTCCTGCGCCAGTACCGCCAATGGGGCTTTCGCCTAATCGACAGACCATGGTCACTCCTCCTCAGCCGTCGCTACCGAACGCTAGTGTGCCTCGTTATCTACTTGACCGCCACTTCGTCCCCAATGCACAGATCCTGGCATCCATGCCTCGCGAAGAGGATGTATTGATGTCCCTTCAGCTGCTGGCATACGTTTCGAAGTACTGTGGCTTGCGTTCATATTTTCAGAAGAGTCATCTAGTACCCAAGTTGAAGATGGGCAAGCAGCTACGCTATTTCGACGGGGATGAGTCAGTGCTGGATTCTCCTGACGAAGAAAAGATGGAAGAGGAGTATCTCCTGCCCAACGACTTCAACATCTTCCCACTTGTGGAAAACTTTACAGTGCGGCACCACAGCCCAGACATGCAGTACTGGGCTGGCGTGGTGATGAGAAACCTCTGTCGCAAGGACGACACGCGCGGTGGCATTCGCCAGTGTGCCTACTACCAATGCGGCAAATGGGAGGAGTTCACTCGCCAATTCGCTAAGTGCCGGCGCTGCCGCCGCACAAAGTACTGCAGCAAGGAATGTCAGAAGAGTGCATGGGCTTTCCACCGACACTGGTGCGTAGCTGCATCACAGTAATGTGGACAATGAGGATGGCTTCCATGCACAGTCAACTCCTCTTTCCTCTCTGAAGTGTGTATAGCGGCGTCATGTTTGATTTCTTTTTTTGGCTCCACGCGCAGGCGGCCATTGCATTGCAGGACAGCATTTTCATCTGCATGGCGTTTTTTTTTCTCGATACCACGGTTTTTTTTTCTCAAACAAGCATTGCGAGCTTAGGGGTCAAGTCCGTCAAGATGATTCGATACAGCCGAATGCTTCTCCAAAATCCTGTTCCACTGCACGTTCCTTTAGCGAACGCCTCCCTTTCACCACTGTCACTTATGTTTCTGATGCTCACATATCATGTGGCTGAACTGAAACTGTTCTATCGGCCACCTGGGCGATACCCAATTTGGAGGAGCTCTTCATTTTGTGTTGGCAATGAAGTCCGACATTGACGGAAGTCTTTCGGTTTCTCGGGACGGGTCGGCATTTGCAGCAAGGAGCATCACACAATCTACAATGTGTATCATGCCTCACTCTGCGAGGGATAGAATGTCATAAGGCACGTCATGCACAGGATCGGTAGATAAGGAGGTCTCGGTCATAGCGACGTCCTATTGCTTGGCTTCAACCCCTCTGACGGATGCAAATTGGATTTGCCGTACAAGCCCGATAGACAACAGACGCCTGAGTCGTCGACGATGTACGTATTTTTATGAGACATAAGGCATAACGTCACGTCTGGTTACTTCCTTTGATGCGCGTTTTCAATCTTGATTGTCACAGCTGTGTGGGTCGCTTGGTGGGAGGTAGACTTGCATGCAATCATATGTACCTCGATGGCTGTGATCGTACATGTCAGCGTAGAACCAGTCAAGGCAACTTGTCACTTCGACGATGCGTTCTGAGCCCACATGGGTCGCGGAAGTAAGAGCACGACCACAACCGGCTTGCCAAAGTGAGGACACTGCAATGTATGGGTATTCACTCAAGCACAAGACCGCGACAATTCTATTTGCTCGCCATAGCCTTCCTCCGATTCTTGCCTGGTCGCTGGGACTTGGTGACCCGTCCCTTGGAGACGCCAGGACCCCTCCTGTTGTTGAAGCCGCTGACGTCGCCTGAACTAACGGCATCTCCAGACTTGGAGTGTCGCTTCTTGCCGCCGAATCCATACTTGTCGTTCTTCTTCTGACGCTTCGCATTGGGTTCATTACGACCTCGACCTGCACCAGTCTTCGAGTTGCCATAGCCCTTGATCTCATTATCCACAGCAACGTCAAACAGATCTCCTTCGTTGGTACCGAGGTTCGAAGACGACCCTTCCTGTCGCTCTGCACACTTGTTAGTACGGAATACGCGAGAAAGGCTAAATAAAGCAACTGAAATATGGCGCCGGCCAAAGAGAAGGGGGTTAGAAAGGGATTTCTCGACTTACTCTTCTTCAAAAGACTGATCTTCTCCAAAGTGTCCTTCTTTGCCTTTTGCCTCTCCTGCAGCTTCGCGATCTGCACCTGCTTTCCAAACTTCTTCAGGTCGCGCAGCTTGCGGGCATCAGCAGCCGCCTTCTTCGCGGTGGCCTCCTCAACAAGCTTCTCCTTGACTTTCTGCATTTGACCGTCGTCCTTGGCCATCTCGGCAAAGTAGTCACCCGGGCGCGAAAACGGCACACCCTCTTTGATTAGAAGAGAGCGGCCCTTTCGTGCGGCTTCCAACGATTGCGATAGAAGGGCCAGTTCACGCTGCAGGTCATCGGAGACGTCAGGGATGGCTTCTGCCGTTGGTTTGGAGGAGACAATGGACTGGTGCGTGGCGAAGGGGGCAGAAGAGGAGGTGTCGATGGAAATGCGGGCTAGTGCGGCCTGAAGAGCGGCCTTGTTGTTGATGGTCAACCTTGTATGAGGGACCATGTCGTCGCGCTCTTCTTCACCCTCGAGATCCGAAAGCGGGACGTCCTCTTCATCTTCCTCCTCGTCCTCCTCTTCATCGTCTGCCACTACTTTCTCCGCTCGCTTTTTGGTAGGGGGGTCGTTTTTCGGGCGGATGATCTTTTCTTCCATTTCGATCTCAGACTCGGAGTCACTGTCCGAATCGTTCAAGGCATCGATGTCAAAAGACTAGACGGACAGGTAAGTATGAGGTACGCCAATTCGCGCATTACTGCAATGTAGCATACCTTGTTCTCTTCTTCCATTGATTCGTCTTCGGCGTCCTCATCCTCGTCCTCGTCCTCATCTACGTCCTGAACGCCGATGTTCTTCTTGTCGACCTTCGCACGATGCTTCTCTTTGAGAACGCGCTTCAGCTTTCTGTCTCTCGGGTCCCGGCCCTTTTCAGCCGCAAGAGCCATTCTCAAAGCGCTCCTTCCCATGGTGATTGCCGTTGGTGATGGCAAGTCTCGAGATGCAGAAGGTAGGACGAGATGTTGCCCGACCGATTGCACGGCGTCCCGACCTCTAGTGGGACTTGCCTGTAAATTTTGTTGCTGATAAACTTTTTCTGCCAGTATCCAGCCTGGTAAAGCAGGCGGTGTCACAGGATAGTGGAGCTACGCCTGCCATTTGTGCGAGTTCGTGACAGGGTCCACCAGTCAGCATGCCTTGGCCGCCCCAGGTATGCGCCCCTGTCCACACAGTGCAGTGCATTGCCTCCTCACAGCACCTATCATCGACAAGAACCCGTTCAGTATGTCCGTCCATATTGGAAGACGACAAGACATCAAGCTCCTGCTCCTTCGGTCCAAGGCTATTCTTCCGATACCCAATCATAAGACTTTTCATCCTTCTATTGATTGGCATCAACACGAGGGTCACGAACTGCTCGCGATGTGAAGCATTGGCAACTTGTTCATTGTACATGTCACAACGTTCTGCGAAGGTTCCATCGGTTATTTATTGAGAGGGCTATGAACCTGGGCCTTGCTTGGTATCCTTGGTATCCCAAAACTCGACCTCCCTTGTGATTGACGGATTCGTGCCGAGACACATACGTTCGACTTGCGAACAATCGTCCTTTCAGAGTACAAAAGTAAGACAAATATCATGTCGTCACAGCGTCCTGTAACAGCAACATGTCTTGTCGTTATAGGGTGAAGGTGAACTGTTTTTGCAGAAATGAATGGCGTTGAAAAGGGTTTTCGTTTTTTTTTATCTTTGGAAGGGGTGTGCGCCTGGTTCGTCCGAATGATAATTGGTTGCAGTGGCTGCAAGGCGTGACAAGTTGCGCTGGACTTCGATGGTGGTTGGAGATTATCATGTTGGCGAAGAGGGCGTATCGAAAACGGGACAGAGCATGGGATATGGGCCCCCGGTAGTACGGCGCTTTGCTTTCGGGCCTCCCAGTCTAAGTCGCGTGAGGCTCTTACATGATAGCGCAGCCGGAGTGGCCACCGCCGTTCTTCATGACACTGCAGCCGGAGTGACCTCCGCCGTTCTTCATGATGCTGCAGCCGGAGTGTCCGCCGCCGTTCTTCATGATGCTGCAACCGGAGTGTCCGCCACCGTTCTTCATGATGCTGCAGCCGGAGTGTCCGCCGCCGTTCTTCTGGGTGTAGGAAGGCATGATGAGTGCGTAGCGTAAGAGCTTATGGGTTGAGTGAAGAAATGAATTGAAGATTGGAGGAGTGACTGACTATGAGGATTCTGTGGCGTGCGATGGTACGATATCAGGTTTGAAATGAGATTATTGGGGTTCTTAAATAGTCGCATTGCTCTTTTGACTGGTGTGGTTGACCCGATACGTGGTTAGGGAAAGCACTTTTCTTTCAGTAGGGATATCCACCAGACTTGGCAGAACAATAGCCTTGCGATCGGAACAGTGTTGGGATTTGGGGTTGGAAAAGAGGGCATTGGGGTGGTCTCATTCCTATTGTTCGAAGCATGGGCTAATATTGTTCCCACGGCGCCTTTGACTTACAATACGTGTTGGGGTAGCTGCCGACCGTATCGACAAGTCCACTACATCGTCGAGAGATGAATTCCCGATGCGAAGCTATGGCTTGCTTCGCTCCAACCCTTCAAAGGCTTCGAAAAATCAATACAAACGGACGAGAATACACGAGGACGGGCAGGTGAGGAAACGAGACGGTGGCTTTGCGTCCATATTGTTCTCCAAAGTTTTCATATTGTTCATCAATCAAGTCACTCGTCAGGATATCTTCCAGCCTAGGTCCAGCTGAGCCTTTGTTCAGGTAGAGATGGCAGCTTTGCCACAAAGACCAGTAGGTGCAGATGAGGGCTGTGAGAGCTCATAATTCACTAGCGACACAAAAAGGGGCAACTCTTGCCTGAACAAAACTCCCAACAGGATAATGACGATCCCGTGTGACATGGCAAAGTATTGTTCTAGAAGCGGGTGAATGGAAGCCTGGGCCCTGTCAGTACCTAGGCGAGGAGCTGCGCGGAGTGTGGGAGGGTGATACATACCATTTACCCTTCAAGGTGATTACTACCCAGGGATTGCCAGCCTCGTCGACTTCCTTTTCAACCTTGGTGTTGAAGGCGATGGCGCTCATTATGCCATCGCCGGATTTCTCGTTCATTACGGCTTTGAAGGCATAGCCGTAGTTCTGAACCACTTCATACAAGCGATAAATGAGGGGCTCGACAGGAGGCATGGGTCCCGCATGGCCCCGGTTGGGAAAAGCCATCAACGGGGCGAGACTCTCCTGGGACACCTGTAATAACTGGGACAACTTGAAAACATCCTCAGCCGATGCCTGAACCTGACCGTAGAACATGCCAGCCACAGCCACTTCACTTCGGCCAAGTTCTTTGGCCATGTCTTCAAAACTGATGCCTGTGACCGCTTTGGCACCGAACAGCGTTTGGCTGACGGGTGGAAGTCGCTCCGCCATGGAGGACTGTTGACATGTGAGCAACATGCCGTATTAGGGGACACAGCCATGTCGTCCATCATGGTTCTCTGCTGGTTACTTACGTCTAGTGTGGCAAGTCCTGCCTGGGCGTGTGCATTCGACATGATGACTAGAGTTGGAGGGTTTCAATGAGCTGTACTGGAAATAGAACAGACTTCGGGAATGGCTGAAGAAGTCGGAGCGTCAAGGAAGCATATTTAAGTCACTCGCTCATGGCGCCGATGTATGGAGCTTCGGGGAGGGGGTTCATCACGCATGCGTCATGCGAGTGAAGTATGGGAATCCTGAGGAGGGGAACCCACAAGCAGCTTCGTGCAGTCGATAAGCCGCATGCACATCCATGATGTATATGCATGGAGGCACCATCCACAGACTTGGCTGGATCTACTTGGACGCACCCCGCGCACTCGGGGATAGCCCGGAAAGTCGGAGGCGGGGTTCGAAGGTGCGAGTTCGGATGCTGTGGCACCTGAGTTGGAGTCAGCAAGAGGGATAAGATAGATAAACATTGAGGGACCCCACCATCAGAATGCACGGACCAATTGTCGGTGCTTCCAAACTCCGACTGCCGTGATAATTTGTGAGGTTGCAGTTTGCCTCTCCAAAATTCACCAACTTGAACGAACGTATTGCCAACAGACATCAGCACCGACGCCTGAGCCAGCCATGCCGCACAAACACACCCGAAAAGATCACGATCCTTCCTCGTACGTTCAATCGAGTTGCGAAACACTGCTTAACATCCCAGATGATCCAGCAATCCACTGACTGGCCGACTAGTTTCGATCTACCTCCATCTCAGATTGCAAAGCCTCTTCCAGTAACCCGAGGCGGCAAGAGCGACGACAAGGCGAAACCCAACTCCAATGCCGCTGCTGCGACTGCAGGGAAGAAGCGCAAATCGCGCAGCAACCCGGACGATGCGCCGCGCGCGTTCAAACGCCTGATGGCTTTTGCCCAGGGCAAGAAGACCAGGTCTGGCCTCGACAACGGCGAAAGGACAGTGAAGCGCAAGACCTCTTCTGTTCCCGCAGCGACCACGGAAACTCCAGCGCCTGAAATGCCCACTATCAGACCCGGCGAGAAAATGGCCGAGTTCGCTGCGCGCGTCGACGCAGCACTACCCCTGTCTGGTCTGGTCACTAAAACGCCCAGGGACGGCAAGGATCCTGGAGGGATCAAGGTGCGCAGAACCAAGAAGGAGCGGAAAATGCACAGATTGTATGATCAGTGGCGGCAGGAGGATGTAAAAATTAAGGAGCAGCGCCTGGAGGCTTTGGAGGAGGCTGCCGAGCGCCAAATGGACCAAGATCTTGAAAGTGGCAACCACACCCACTGGCCGGTTAATATGGGAGGCACCTCGACGAGTATCACCAAGAAGGGCAAGAAGAACAAGAAGGGACGTAAAGCGAAAGCCGCGGAAGACGAGGACCCCTGGGAGGCTTTCCAGAAGGCCCATAAGGACACCAAGATTGGGCTTCATGACGTGGTGCTAGCGCCCCCAGTATTGAAGAAGAGCACACAGAAGCTGCTCACCCCTCGAGCCGATAGTTCTTGACGATACACAACACGTGGCATGCTGTAACAATCAAGTACGACAGATTGCTGGCGATCTGCAAACCCTGTGTAATTTTGTGACAGATGAGGAGCAGGCTCGCTTACTGATCTGGAAGCAAGCCACCGATGTACATACATCTCATGCTTCGCGACGTTCACTGGCTGGTAGACCTAAGGTACCGATGATGAACACCCATCTATCGTGTCATGGACCGGGCTCGCTGTCATTTCGTAATGCCCCTGCATTTCGAAGGGACCCTTATCCGTCGACCCTTCTTTTTGCGACATTAGATGGGTGCTTTGAATAGTCGTATGGGTTTATCCTCCTGCAGGGCACGCCGGAATAATTCGCGGGCTGAAGGAGTGCTTTCCACAAAATTCAATGCGGAGGTAGAAGTTAAGTTTGCGTGCCATAGGAGTGCATGGGTGCTTGTTGACCACTGTCATGCTATCTCCGCGCTATCATCAGTGTGACTGATGCAGAATGGATCCAGGCTCACCCAACTTTTCATCTCGAATATAAGTTTCCCACCTTCCACACTCCGCAGGCGAATATTGTGTCTGCAAAGACTTTCAGCCCCTTCTCGAGAACCAGAAAACATAAACTTGAGCCAGGTAAGTACGTGATGGACCCTTGAGGTAAGGTAGTTATTATTAAGTACCTTAGCTACCTGGGGTCGTCACGCCGGCAGGTGCATCGTGCCTTGCATTATTGTTACCGAGTCGCCAGAACGCTAACAGGCAGACTCACCAATCAGCTCACGTGACCCACCCACCAAGGCGTCGACCATCCGAAAACCCAGACATCGCTGGTTCAATTCCCGTCAATAACACTAACGACCAGGTTCATCAGATTTTTCTTCCGCCCTCGGCCTGGCATGTCAACGAACTTTTGGGAGTCATAATGGCCGGAGAGATTGAGAGGTTGATCGAATGGCTAATCGATGACATTTCATGCCACGGTGATCGAGGTTTGTTCTCCCCCCCAACATGCTTGCCTCTACACCATTCAGATGTCGTCCTGTTCGACTCAAACATCAAGAACAACCACGGCATCTGATCAGCTGTTGACAGAACGCACCGATCTCAGCTCTGAAGTCCGCAAGCATGCTGCCATAAAAAAATGTGTGCTAACAGATTTGTAGGCTATCCTGTGTCGCAGACACTGGCTACCATTCAAGACTATCACCATGGCACTGTCAGGCATGACACTCCCAGTGCGATCATGCCCGCCGCGGCAGGTATGAATGACGCAGCAACAGACCAATCTCTCTTGTCATCAATGTGGGATTGGATCAGAGAGCGAGACGACATTTCCATCGGCGAAAATCGACAATGGAATCACTTAACCTTGGAAGCGGTTCTTGCCATGCCGGAACCAGAGGCTTTCCCTTCACCCCGCCGGGCAGACGATGCCCTCGAGGGCGTTACCTCTGTATTACAGAGCCCAAAGGACCATGAAGGTGGTCAAGTAAGCCAGCTTCGCGCAGGAGAAACGCCGGTTACAGCCTTCCGCCCCAGAATCTACGCCTCAGCCGATCGAATGTGGGAATCTATTGCTGGCCATTCTGCGGATTTCAAGCGAGTTCCGAGGTTGGAGTGGGCGGCTTTAGTGGGAATTGCCACGACGAAGAGTGATGGAATCCTCCAGGGAGATCTATGCCGGCTGATCGGTCAAGACAAGCGATCTCTCCCGAAAAGGACCGATTCGCTGGCCCAGAAAGGGTACATCACGAAAAGAACGACGTTGGTACGAGGCGTGAAAACGAGCAAGATGTGGCTGCGACGGTTAGCCCCGAGCATGCCGACTAATCCCACGCAAACCGGCCGTGGCGAACGCACGAGCGTGAACTGGTGCCGGGAAGCGCTCACTGCCGACATGGAACCTGTCGCATGGTGCGATCGTTGGACTGGCAAATCTATAGATACCCACATGCTGGCTAAGACGGCCATCGAGATCATCAAAGCCTGGAAAATCATCAGGTATGATGACCTACGCCGCAAGCTGGGGATTGAAGGCCTGAAATGGCAGATGAAGACCCAAGCGAGGCTATGTCGTTGGATGGTCAGAAGAGGCATCGTCCAGTACGTTGCCGCGACCTTGGGGGAGCGGCTCTTCAAAGATTGTCTGAAGTTTAATCGCGACTTTTCAGCTGACGACTGGGATTCATACCTGGCCACTGGCAAAGTCAAAGCACGAACAAACCCTGAAACTGAAGAACTGGCGCAATACAGGGAGGCGAATCTCGATACACCGAACAGGAGTAGTTCGATCAGCGGAAGCAGGGATCGCTACACCACCGCAGGACGTACATCAACAAATCGAGGTGGCATTGCTTGTCAAGATCAATGGAAGCCCGAAAAGCCATTACCGACCACCGTTATGGATGTCATCAGAGCTGGGGATGCCAGGGGCGTTCCAAACAGACAGATAGGCAAACATACCATGGGCCCACCGTTCACACGATATGTGTCGTCTATTTCGACAACGCTGGCAACACCCGCTCTTCAGCCCTCGCATCTCACCCAATTTCAAGTTTCCAGTCAGCTGCATAGAGTAGAGAAATCGGCTATATATCTCTTCTCTCTTCCCCAGCTTCCGGATTACAGACGAAACAACACTATTGCGCAAGCTCATTCTCATGTACCCGACTTTTTCTTTGCCGCAGAAGATCTAGTCGACGGACCTAATGTCCAACAAAACAAGGGGTTCAGCATGCCCATGCAACATGATCTTTCTGACCAGTTGCTCGGCTTGAGCGCACTTGCTCGCGTCCCGAATGAGAGACGGCAGTGGAAATCTATACGAATAGCACCCCAAGAGATGTCTCATACACAACTAGAGTTGGACAAGCGAAGCCATATTTCGGCAACCCCGGCACGCTTGACACACGATGACGCCACGAACTTGACGCCTGCCATCTCTACACCTTGTCATAGTATCCGTATCTCAGACGAGATGCCTGGAACTGCCGCGTCGTTTCCGGATGATATAGATGACCTTGGAATACAGAACATCCGTCCAACTCGACGTTCGTTGATAGTCAGTCTGAAGGTGAGACCCTCGGCGCTTTCAAGACTGCTAGCACTGCCTTCATCCCCGAAGCTCCGGAAGACTCCAGACTTGATCGCCAACTCCCACACACCAAGTTTCGATGAAGTCAACGGACTGAGTCTGGATGGTAGCCATCCCGGCAACTTAAACATAGTTGAAGATTCTGAACGCGGCTCTTCAATCAGGGTTACAACCAACTACCCTGACGAACAACCGAGTGAACCAACGCAGCTGGGCGACAAGACGGAGGGTCTACAACCCAGCACTTCTCTAGTGACAAAGCGAGGGCGTTCCAAGGCGAAGAGCACAAAAACCTCAAAGCAGCAGAAAAAGGGCAACAAAGCTGGCGTTTTCACCTGCGAAAAATGTGGTGGCGTGTGGAAGAACGACAACGGATTAAAGTACCACCTGGAGAAATCAGCTTCATCTTGCAATTCAGCCTATGTCCCGCCTACGCCTAAGGCACACCAGTCTCAAGCCAAGGCAGCTCGCCTGTCGACACAAGAATCAATGGGAGAAAACACGCCGATCTTGGAGAGATCCGCAAGGTCGGCACGGGCTACTGGAAACCGTGGTTCGTCAGCACAGCTCGTGCAGGACACCGCTTTGAACCTGGCACATCGGAATACTCTTCAAGCCCACGCCTCCGTTCTACTTGCACGAACTCATCATAGGCGCCGAACCTCCGCCGAATCTTGCGCCGCCCAAGTCGATATACTATTGGGTCGTCCCAGTCTCACAGCCGACTCCAGTGATGCTACGGCACTTGGCTCTCCAAGTACGAAGGAAACCCTTGGGGTCAAGCCTGGTGGCTTGATAGATTTGCCGACCGTCAGCACAAAGAACGCGCTGCATACAGAGTGGCATGCTCGGCCAGGTGCAGATCGCGGCGTACGTCTCAAGGCCCCCGTGACACCGAGAAAGAGCGACTACTTCGGTGTTGCCGGTCCGACAAGTCCTGAAACGGCGAGCATCGCTCCTAGTAACCAGAATGGGCACATTCGTCCCCTGTCAAAGGAGCCGAGGAAGCGATCGCAGCCTGCAAACTCTGCTGTTGGCGAACAGGATACACACAATGGGTATAAAAAAACCACAGAAAGCAGACTGCCGCCGTATTCTTTGTCTCCTGATCGTATGGAATTATCAAAGGCGAGGAAAGATACAAACGAGGTCAAAATGACAGAGATCTCGACTGTTGAGGCAGGTGGCGAAACACTCAGGTATCCGAAATTCCGCATGCCTACAATTGCGGATGAGCAGGACACAAACGGATACGCCCCGGACTCCCGCCTTCATCGTGCCTCTCAAATCATGCTATATCTCATTCAAAACAACAATGGCGTATTTCCGGGTGACCGATCTGCCTATCTTGCGTTCCTCTCAGTATGGGAAAGGACTTTTCCTTCTGACCCGCCGCCGAGCAACAACAATGTTCAGGTCGCCATCAACAAACTAGTCAGCAGGAAGAAGATCGTCAAGACCACCCATGCGTTCAGGGACGCCAAGGGAGCCTTCAAGTCTGCTAATGTGCTTCTCGCGCGTGGCACGGATCCTTTCTGTCCGGCAGCTGTTGCAGTGAAGGAAAGAATCATTGCAGAACACCCACGTCCATATGTCTTGGCCGAATTCACACCTTCCGCAGAGATGTTTGGGCAAGACCAGAAGATGTGGAAGGGAGAACCAATCTTCTCCAACAGACGTAAGCTGGAGAATGACGTGGGAATACTGGACGCACCGTTCTACGTCAATGAAAGTCTCAAGAAAAGAAAGCCCAAGGGCGTGGAAGTAGATGATGCTTCTCCGTCAAAGCGGCACAGACCAGATTCTAGAGCTTCGGCTGGGATAGACAGTAAAGGGCCCATGGTTGGCACCACTGGTAGGCCGTCGCAGGCTGCTAGGACCCCCCCCTACATACCAACCCATCATGTGGCTGCGTTCAAACACCAGGCGGCGTATCTAGAGTTGACCTTTCTGGAACCTAATACGTGCCTTGATGAGGACGACGAACCTAGCCATATACTGCCAACAGCCACAGACGTACAACAACACATTGGCATGCTGTCGGGAGAGGAGATCAACCAAAGCTCTGACCGTTTTGACTTTACTGCAACGAGGGAGATCTTGCAGCACGGGACAGAATGGCCACCGCTAGATGTCAACTTCTTCGAGCAGAATAATAGTTTTGCTATGGATGGATGGATGCCAGATTCTCAGTGGTTTCTACGGTGTGGGTTACCACATAGTCTGGACGAAATGATTTCAGCCGAAAGCACTGGAAAGGACGAGCAGCATGATGGTGGCGAGGCGGACTTCATGAAACAAGTCAATGGGTGCCGCCGATGGGAGATTTCATTTGAAGCCAAAAGTCTGGTCGCGCTCGGCTCGATCGCACCCAACTACATCTTCATCAACCATCGCATGGACACTCACGTTGAGTGGCATGTGCAGACCCTGCTATGGAGTCCAGAAAATCAGCTAGGTTTCCGAGGCAATCATATTGATACGAACCAGCACGACTCGGATCAGAATGCTGAGATTCAACCACTCAAACGGCGAAAATATACGCCCCGAACACGATCTAGGCTAGAGCCTACGGTTCAAATGGATATGAAGTACAGAACTTTGTTGCCATGGTCGCGTAGCTCGGGTGCCGAAACGGAGATGTTGGAGGGCCAGACTCTGGATGGGGAAGATGATGCTGTGGTTATTGCCGCCTTTGTGGCCACGCGGACACTGCTTGGTGGTGCAGACAAGTACATTGAATGGGGCCTGATGATGAGGCTTTTCCCCAGCAGATCGCTCGCCTTTCTGCGGAAATTCTGGTCCAAAACGCGTCGAGATCGGCCTGCGTCAGTGAAGCAACTGACTGAGCGGTTCCAGAAACGCTTCATCGCGGCGTATGAACGGAACGAAATACCTCCGCTAGATTTCGACAACTATGTTCGCTACGACTGGGTCAGCCTTATTCGATGGACCGCGAGCCTTGTCGAGGACTCAGTCACCCTTCCGTCAGGCCGAGCGGACCTAGAACAACACTTCACGCTGGAGGACGCCGTGGCCGACGTGCACGATTGGCAAGAAGATTACTACAATGTCCAGTCATCCATATACAGCAGACTCGAAGCCGTTACCTCGAAGTCGGCTGTAGTGTTGCTCGATGAAGGCAGGAAAAGCACGGCTCAGGAGCCAGATCTTGTCAAGGCGAAAACCTGGATCCGGTCACTCTGTTCTACACAGCAAGGGCTGTATACTCCGCAGCAAACAAGAGTCAAAATGGCCAACCTGACTGAGAATGGCGAGGCATATAATAACGAATTGCTTGAAAGGGCCATCGACACTCTCCAAGCTCAAAATGTTATTGCGAGGACAAGAAGGCGGCGATACGAGAACAGGTCATACCGACTCTCTGAGTGGTACTTGCCACGGCTGGTCAAACAGAGCCACGAACAAAAATACCTCGACGCTGTTGCCTTCAAGACACTGCTAGACGCCAAGTTTCGTCGTGATGAAGAGGTTAGGATTCCATACGTCATCAGGGATGGCGAAGTCATGGCCATGATTAATCTGCAAGCCCACGGCAGAGTAACGATATCCCCCGTCGACATGCCGCAGATTCCATTGGGATTCAAGCCTGGTGTCTACGAAAGCCGCAAATTCCCAAAAACGTTCTACAACTTTGGGCTGCAGATCACGCCAACGCCAACATATGTGTATGACGATGATATGCATGTTCTTCAACAGTCTCAGGGAGATTGCCCGGCGAGTCAAAGCGCGGAGGGTGTGCTGCCTCTTTGGTCTGACTTCTTTGGAGCGCTCAAGGTCGACCGTTGGCGACAAGTACTGGGCGCTGTCGTGTTCGCGATCGCTATGCGTGGTCCGTTGGATCTAAGAGGCGTGGTTGCAACTCTGAAGCCAAATCTAGAGGATTTTGAGGTTCAACTGGTCATCGAATGGGGCTTACGAAACGAAGTCTTAAAGTCCGCCTCGCCCCGAGGAGCAAGCTATACAACAGCGGAGTGGTGGTGGCTCATAGTCGGGAGCCAGGGTGTCTTGAAGGGAAGTTAAGCTGCTGTGTAGCAAGGCTGCGTCCTAACTAGTGCGCGACGATACTGTAATTATTCAGAAACGGGAGAATGTATAATATCTGCCTCAGCAATGCATCATGTCAACCTTTCCCGGTATCGTTATCACGCCCCTGAGTATCCCATAGAGGGGAATTTGATGAGCAGTGTTTTCAAGTCAAGTTGCAGACCAAAGGTTGCCACTGAGAATAACTTTTTTTCGTTCGTGCAATTTGAGCACAATTGAATGAACCCATATCTCACCGAGCATACTGACAAGGTGCAAGGTAAAACATACTACGCACCAGAGATCCACTACGCCTCGCTAACCGACCAAATCGCTCTTGATTATGAAATGAACATCTTTCCGTGCTTTTACCCAGGGACGCATGTCGCTCAAGGAAAGCAAGACCCGATATCAAGAAGAACGCATTTAAGCAAGTACAGAGCATGAAATGATCTACTCCCAGAAGTCGAATCTTTGATCCTACCTCGAATGATCAGTGGCGACAGGCCTAGGTATAGGTGATGCCTCACAATTGATGAGCCATGAGGATGCCTGCCTATGTATTCAAGAGCGCTCGAAGTATCATCGCCACAAGCAAGACGACGAGTACAACGATGGCTCGGTCTACCCACAAAGGAACGCCCGCGTCCATGGGTCGTTGTACAGTTGTTGGGCCATTCAAGATCCGTGGATTTGGAGCTTCACGAAGGGGAGCGACTCTCGCAGTCGCAGGGATGACTCTAGCTGATTCAGAATGATGATAGGACGAGATCTCAGGAACAGCCATCTCTTGTGCTGTCATCTGCTGTTGAGTGGACGCGTTGTCACGGCGAGGGGTGACCGACCCTGTCGTGACGAAAGCCTCGGACAGTTCTGCACTTTCTTCGTCAGATGCCTCCGCCAACCCTGTAGTACCTGGACCAAAGTGGCGTTGTTCTGCAATTGCTGGCGCATGACTTCTTGTTTCTGGGCTCTTTGTCATCTCATCCTTCCAGGCCATCTTGAGTTCAGAAGGAACTTCTACTCCGCTGGGGGCCTGGGAGGAAGTTGAGGCCGCCGCATCTGCCGCATTTTTGGACTCCGCCATGATTTCTTCGTTGGATTTGCCGCAAGCAGGGCATTTAAATGATCGAGAGGCAAGCGCATGACGTTGTCGCACGGCGTCTGTGGATTCCAAGCCGCCAAGCTGGCCTTTCGGATCGGTTTCCATAAAGCTTCGCAATCTAGAAACAGAGTCAGAGTTCTGAAACTCCAGCAAAGACAGCTATCGCTGGCATTTTTCCAGGTGCGCGAAATGGAGCAATGTTGGAGCGGTATAGGGAACTACGGGGATTGCATCTTACGCGACCAGCGCTGTCCGAACGCCCCAAGCTGGCTGCCATGTTTCCTCGTGGTGGCCACTGATGCTGAGGCAGATCTCTCTGTTGACTTCGAAACGGCCGCTAGGTGTTGTAAAACGAAAGCTCGGTGGACGGAGTGGATAAGTAGGCGGTAGGACGATACGACCATGATAGATGCCTTCAGCAAACGCGGAGTTGGGTGGTCCTCGGAACGTGAAGTGCCACTCAAACAAGTCGCTCTCAAGAGGTGTAGCGGTATAGTCAGGCGAAGGCGCCTTGGAAAGCTCGGCAGCTTCTTTGACTTGAGAGGAGATCCCGTCAACGATGGCACGCCAGAATTGGCAACCAAATCGATCACGACAACTTACGTATGCGCCGTATTGTTGGCGACTTGGAGTTGAACTTGGGTGTTGCCATGTTGTCCCCAGGTGTGGTGGAGTGTTTTGAAGGAAGCACGAACAAAGTATTTCCACGAGCCTAGCGAGTAGGCTTCTGATGGAAGGTTGAGCAGATGATCACGGTAAAACGACAAATTTTGGGGAGGGAAAGCGTGGCAGATGTAGATGTGGCATATGTTGCAGCTCAGGCATTCGGAGTGGTACCGTCGGAGAAGCTCCCCTCCCTCCTATGCCTGCTTGAAGTAAACAGCCCCCCCTCCCCACCTGTCCGCCCCAACCAGACCGCAACACCTACCTAGCATGAGGGGCCACTGTATCCACTCGTATGCGCCAAGGACGCTCTGATATTCGCATATTCTTTACGGGTATTGCTACTTGATTATGTAATGAACCCGGTCGAGGATCGACGACTATTCCTCGCAAACGAAGTATAGAATCGACTTGTCCAGCTTCCTGACTGCCATCTGATCCAACCAACGTTTGAAGCGCGACATCGGAGACGGTGCTTTCCAAAAACACGGTATGTTCACTCTTTGGTCATTGATCAAATCACCAATATTCTAAGCATTATTCAACAGCAATTGCTTTCCTCGAGCCACAGCATCGCCTGCTCCGACGACACCGACCCAACTTACGATCAGATAATCCACACAATGGCTGGGCCAGGTCCTGTCAAGCCCGGCATGGCCCGAGGGCTTCCCCCTCTGCGCATCCATAACTTCGTCGGGACGGCATTGGGTGCTGGAATGTGGTTCTTCGTACGTGAACGATCCTCGCCATGACTATGTGACAAGTTGTGTGGACTTGCATGGATCTGGCTAACCATGTTTCCTGTAGTTGATGTACCGAGCGAAGAAGGACGGTAAGGAACCTCGTTGAAAACATGTGTTATTTATACTTACGGATGTGCAGGTGCGGTTCTTCTGGGCTGGAAGCACCCTTGGGATCATTGAAGCGCTGCGGAAGGAAGCTGGCTGCGTCACCAACACAGCCGTGATAGTTCCATCGACAGAGACCTCTGTGTACACCTAACCAAAGTTTATTTCATTTTTCGGCTCAGGCTTGCCATCACTGTGGATTGTCCTGTCTCGTACTAAGCTACTGGCTTCTCAAACAAATAATGGGCAACGCCCCATGTATCCCCGCCTTCGTATGCAAAGAGCTCCGAGCATGCCAAGTAAAATATTTGCCAGCGATTGTACCACACGTGGGCATCTTGCTCTCCGTACGTTGCGACCAGGTGCGGCCAAATGTCTTGTTTGCTGTCCACCATCTTGGCAAGCCAGTCCTATTGCTGTTAATGTTGGCTCTTGTCGCGTTGGTAGTACATCCATACCTCGCACGTCTTGGAATAGTGGACGCCATTGACCCACCACTGCTCACGGATCTGTAGATCACGTTGAAAATAAAGGAGCAGGTCGGCGGAAGGCATGGTGCCTCCCGTAAAGAAATGAGTCGTCATCCAGCCTTCCTCATAGTCATAGGGCGTGGTCCGGTGGGCAAAAATGTGCACAAACAGCCGACCACCGGGCTTAAGCGCCCTGGCAACCTTGGCCATGAGCAGTTCATAGTTCTTCATGTGCTCAAACAGCTGTTTGCGGGAGAATATGGTCAGTACGCCATGAAACGGCAACATTGACAGCCTCGCAATCATGACGAGGAGACGTAACACACCTCGATCGAGACAACCCTGTCGAATGACTCGGGCTGGAACTCGTAGTCAACTACGTTGCCGGTGATGACTGTCAGATTCTTTAGTCCTTTCGCCTGTGCTTTGCCATCGATGTATTCCTTCTGCGTCTTCGAATTAGAGAAAGCAGTTATCTTGGAGTTTGGTAGCACCTCGGCGAAGTAAAGAGCGCCGGAGCCCCAGCCGCATCTGCAAATTGTTAGCGCAACGGTACGATTCGGGATGTAGGGCTGGGTTCCCGCATCCTCACCCGAGGTCAAGTATGCTCATGCCATCCTCCAAGTCGGCTTTTTCTATATACGTCTGAAGCATGGCTACTTCGGCTTGCGCAAGTGTCTCTCGGCCTTGAGGATATAGGCAGCAGGAGTACTTCATACGTGGCCCAAGACAAGCAGCTAACACGCCAGTGCCAACTTCATAGTGCTGCTTGTTCGCGGTCGCGGTTTCCACCGCTATGGGCCGATTACGGAGCTGCTGGATGTAGGATAACTTGCGCTCATAACTAGCGGCTAGTGATGCGCTCTTAATGGCATTCAATCGCTCTTGTAGCTGGCGCCGAATGCCCACACGTATGACAGCATGCGGCAAGTAGCCATTGTCAAGGATCCAGTCTAGTCATCCGGCATCGTCAGAAAGACGAACGAGACGATATCTCACATATGCCAATCGTGCACTCACCAATGTTCATATTGGTTGAATCAAATTGCGCTGAATGTGAAGCCGACCAACCAGTGAACGTCAGGTGACGGAGAAAAGAGAGAGTTGGGTTGGCGTTGTAGGTATGGCGTCAGGCCTTGTCCGTAGCCGTGTTAACTAAATAATCTGAGGTTCACTCTCAAATGACACATGTCGGTGAGGAGAAACTCTCAGCCGTAGATCTTTTGTAGCAAACATCGGGTGTCTCGGGACCTGCGCAAGCTGCACATCTCTTTTGAATCTAAACCGAATTGAAACTCTATGACACGTACATGTTGGATTATGCTAGATATGGCTTATCGCCCCCTGTCATCGTACCAGGACCCTGCCAATACCCTGTTACTGCCAGCCACTTTCTAGGCACGATGCGGCTCCGCTGGCGAAACGCCGTTTATTAACACTTGTGACTATCCTATGCTGAACTGGCATGTCAAGCAAGATGTAACACATGTCAGCCAGCACGTAGCGGTTATGAAAGGTCGATCACGCACATACCCTTTCCTCCGAAGTGAGCGAGCGACGTGGCTCCATCAGCCACAAGGTAGGCAAGTGGGTGGCAATTTAAGCCCCGCCCCAAATCCTAAAGACAAGTATCATCCAGAAAGCCCCTTGACTTCAGAACCCTCTCAGTGCCTCGACTATGGATAAAGTGTTCTGAAATTCTACCTAGTAGATAATCAGCGACACATTTGATCACTATTCTACTTTTATTGACTTCGAGCTGATGCAAAGTTTAGTACAACGGTTCAAAGCGAGCTCACTTTTCAGGAGTGTGGCTTTTATTTTGGTCACCCGCCTGGTAGGTACCGCGGTACTGTCATACAGTCTACGGCCAGTCTTGAAAACATGCCTGCGGCCGCATCTATACAGTGGAGAGACTATCTATGCGCATCTCCTCCAGTATTGTCTTGTACAATTTGCGCTTCTTAGGCTGCCGTGTGAGCCTCTGTTTGAGGCGCCCAACGGCTCGCGCTAGCTGTTGGAACACGAGCTTCTCCGCTACCCAGGCACACACTAGATAAGATGCACCCAAGCCAACGAGAAAAAGCTGAAAGTCTCCGCTCGTTGATGTCAATTGCATCAGGTGTGCCACCCAATGGGCTGGGCTCATGATCATGTAAAGCGTGAGAAGCAACGTTATGGCTATCGTAGCCAAGAAAGGCCCTGATCATTCCTCGCGTCAGCATCATCCCGACTTGTAGGTAACAGAAACTTACAGTTCTTCAATGCCTTCTGCCGGAAGGGTGGTCCTGCGTTGAGAACGACGCCAGCAAGGATATACTCAAAACATGACACCAGGAACAATACAGTGTTCTCTGAATTCTTGATGTTTGACTTATCATGCCTGACCTTCGGAGGGATGTACCAAGGTTGCTCTCGAACGGCGATGTATACTGTCGCTTGAATGGCGATGCAGATGAGCATTTGGCCTAACAGAGGAATTAGGACCTTCCGCGAAACCAGGTTTGCCGTAGGACGTTTCTTGTATAAAACGGGGTACGGTCCAGCCCACCCCACTGGAGTTGCTTGTCAGAACGTTTTGGCAAGTAGGACACGATTGCATTGACAACTCACTAAAGATGGCGATGGGGAGAATTAAGAGAAGGTCAATGAATAAAAACTGAGCCCGGAATTTTCAGTGATTGGTCTCGCAGCTAGAATGAGGCATCGCATACCTGAAAGTCTCCTAGATTGGATGCAGTCGCGTAAAGGAAGCTAACCGATGTGAATTGAATTGCGGAGTACAGGCTCATATACTTGAAACAACTGAAGCTGGTGACAAGTGCCGCTCGTCCCTCCCTTTCTAAGAGTTAGCCATCGGTCTAGCGCGATACGAACAGGGACAACCTACCGAATCACCTCAGGACAGCACGCTATGTCGAAGTTTCGGCTGGTAAAGGGAGCGGCAACAGACGCCTCGGCTTCGGACAAGGAGATCCCGACGTCCGCAGCTTTGAGTGCCCCGCAATCGTTGGCGCCGTCGCCACAGAAGCCGACGCAATAGTCGATACTTTGCAGTTTCTCAACAAGTTCGTGTTTCTCATCAGGCGACATACGGGCATATATTTTGCCGTTGACTAGCATCTGCGGAATTGTTACCAAGGCAAACCTCACCACTCAACAGCCGACGGCCTAAGCACTTACTCTGTGCAGCACATGCGGTTCGGCAAAGTCTACCAGCCATCGGAACGCATCACCACTTATGGCAAGCGAGTAGTTTCGAAGGTTAGTGATATTGTAAGGCAGGGACACGTCAACATCTTGAGATGCTGGTAGCGGCTATGACCAGAAGTCAGATCGTATCCAGCTGTGAATCCGGGTGGTCTTACAAGCAACGTATGCTCGTCAAGTCGTAACGAGCTGTCGTCAATACTTTCCCAGAGCAGACGCGAATTAGGGTCCCCTGGATGCCCTGCACAATTCTTTAGATAATAACTCTGTGTCCGAGTTAGGGCAGCGCTTACCTTCCACGAACCGGGACACAAAACAATG